GGGGGAGGTATTGGGGGTGTAACATTATTATTATATATCCTACTATTTTGGTGCAATATTACTATATACCTTACAAGGGAAACTACTGTTCGTGCTTAATAAGAGCTCTTCCTTAAAAGAGTTATTGCTCTTGGCGTGTGGCGGCTGATCAATATAGTGCGGTTGTGTTCTTTGTCATGAATGTGTTCATATTAAGGTATCTGCGGTCTATCCTGTTTGATATCGACCATCAACACCTTTGCAGAGAAGAAGGAGGGGCTCTTTGCTTGTGGAAGTATGTCAAGTTGATCAGCGTCTATGCTTCAAGAAACTGCTTCAAGAAAAGTTCAGAATCTTGGCATCTATTTTGATTCCAGTTTGTCATGTCAGCTGAGATAAATCATCTTTCAGCTGCATGAATTTAGAAATAAGAAAAATTAGTAAAAAAAACGTTATCTTATCAATACTAAGTATGCTGCTTTACTAGTAACTAGCTAATTTTATCAAAACTCGATTATTGTAACTCCTTGTTATCAGGAATATCACTCGCAAAACTTAAAAGACTTCAAACTGTCCAAAGTCCAAAACAATGCTGCTCGATTAGTTTTACGAAAAAGAAAGCGAGACTCTGCTAAACCTCCTTTACGGAGATTGCATTGGCTTCCTGTTGAGAAAAGAATTGTGTACAAGTTGGCCACCCTATGTCACAAATGTTTAAATGATAATGCACCATCATATTTATCAAATCTGTTAAAACTGTACTTTCCAACTTGCAGTTTAAGGTCATCCGCTGACACAAAGAACATTATTTTACCATCTATGAAACTTAAAACAATTGGTGAAAGGACATTTGAATACCTAGGCCCCAAGATCTGGAATGCTTTACCAATTACTTTAAGAGAGATCAGATCTTTTGATTCATTCAAATGTCAGGTTTTTAAAGTAATAAGATGAATATTTGGAGTTTCAGTCAAAACACGTTTTATGTTACTGTTGTACGTTGTACTGTATTGTAAAGCGCTCAGAGCCTGTGTACTTCAATCGTGGTTGATCGCTATATAAATGTCATTTATTATTATTATTATTATTATAAGAATAATAATTGCATTTATATAGCGCATATCCATGCTCAAGAGCATGCTCTATGCGCTTTACAACTATTATTACCCCAGCAGACCCTCTGAGAACACTCAGAAATATTCTCGGCTTCCGCGGAAGCATACAGTGCAAGCTGCGGATTTCACGCGCTCAAACACTATCAAACTGACAAGATCTTTCACTGTCTATAGCCGGGTACCCATTTCCACCTGGGTAAAGTGAGGAAAATTTGTGCAAAGTGCCTTTCCCAAGGACACAACAATAATAATCATTATTATTACGCAACGACGACTGGCTTCGTCGCTGTGTACGCCAAAAAGATTGAGTTTGAGAATAAACATATTTTCCTGGGTAGTTCTGTCTGTCTGCTGATAAACTCACTAATCCACTCAGTCTAAGTTGGTTCAGCAGCAGCCTGCCTCTTAAATAACGTCACTTTAGTCAATATGTGCGTTAAACATGTGAAGCCTACAAACGTAACCTATCGAGTTTTTTGAACGAGCTGAAAAGGTGTTAGTCCTTCGTCCCTAAAGCATATCTGGTTGTCAGTAGAAGTAAATTTGTTATCCACTTTCAAGATTCTTTACTGTAAAATGAACTGGGCTCCCAGTCGTTTACAGCATATTATCGTAGCTGTCGCATGCAATCCACTTAAGTCCAAATTTTGAGAACATTCGATTTTTAAACCTTCTCAAAGTTCCATCAAAGATGCCCCTTTTAACATCACCAAAAAGCATGTTCATGCTATGGTCAAGACTTACGATATATTTGTTGCTTTTCATCATTCCTGACAGCACAACAAAATCTATTTTCTCTTTCTTTTTTTTTTGGTTCAATTTAATACTATTGCATTTTGCCCGCGCAATAACCCAACTCCCTTAAAAACAGATAAAATAAAGAGGGGGGGGGGGGCTACACCTTTAGGTTATCTCGCTTATTCCAGGACCAAGTTTTACCAAATTTCGCACATATAACAAGCATAGTATAGAGTCTTAAAATCTGCAATCAAATTTGAGGAAAAAAGTTTCGTTTCCATAGATACGGCGCCCATATTGGATTTTTTTCATTGCTCGTTGTTCATTGTGTCAGGAAGCAACATCCCTGTACTCCGGACATGTCCATTGATGCTCCGTTGCTCTCTCCAAAATGTTGCTGAGGGTCCTTCCACTGACTCTGCCACTGCACATCTGGTTGAACGTTCTTCTGTTATTTCCTGCAAGGATGCCAGATTTTCCGCTTCCTTTTTGTATTCCCAAAAGCATCATCCTCTACACGGCAGTACTGGCCTCTGCTTCCCTATCTTCCTCCTCAATCAGCTGGCGAGAGAGACATTTCAAGATCTCGACCCTATCTGTTTGAACCGTATTGTCAACTGAGGTGGCCTCATCTGCCAGTCAGTCGGCTTTTTCATTTCCCCCAACACCTGCATGGCCAGGACAGAAAATCCATGTGAGCGATCGTATAGGCGTTGGTTCGATAGCTTGAATCCATTCTGTTCAAAGGAAACCTTTTTGATCCTTCTGAGGGTACACATGGAATCAGTGATAAGAACAGCATGGGTTGTGTAGGGGCGATCTTTGGTCATCCAATCAATTGCTTTCGTAATGGCTTCAATTTTCATTCGCATACTTGATGTAGTCCTGCTGCAGGCTCCGGATGCACTGTGTATGATTTTATTGTTGACGAATGCAACAAATCCCCATCCACTTCTCTGGCTATCTCTTTTCACTGAACCATCTGTATAAATTATAGGATCCCCTGCTTTTGAATTTGTGTCAACAATCTCGTTGATATTGCTCTCGTTTATGGAAGCCGCAACATTTCTTCTGTCTCTGCCCATGCATATTTTGACCTTGGTGAGGTCCCTGTATTCTGTATTCTCCTGTCACCTGTTCTCATTCTTCGCCTCGTGGTAGGCTTTCAGGTACACAGATTTTTATCAGAGAATCCTCTGCTTCCGCCATCCAAGATTTTCCTCTTTCGATTCTGACTCTCTTGTTGTCAAGAAGTACTTTATGAAGTGGATGGTCCTTCTTGCCCATTACACTGAGATACATCTTTGCCTGAGCTATCCTATGGCATACTCTGATGCCACTTAAACCTAGCTAGTAGCGCATGCACAATATTGGAGTGTCCTTGGTGCAGCCAAGCACTGCTCTCATTGCCTCATTCTGCACTCGATCCAGCTTTGCGATCTGTGTGTCGGACAGCGTGAGACAGCCCAATCCGTAATCAATGACAGACAGGACGACCAGCTGCAACATCTGGAAGAGCAATCTTCGCGGAATCAGAGCAGCAGCCACGGGTCTAGATTGCACCAACACCTCATTTGGCCTTTGTTACCACATGGTCCACATAATTGTTGAAGGACAACGACCTGTCGATGACGATTCCCAGACACTTCAGCTCTGACTGTCTTTCGATAATCTCATAGTTGCAAGTGATTGGTGTAGTTGTGTCTTTGACAATCCTGTTGTCGAGGGAACACCAAAGTACCTGTGCCTTTGAAGGATTGATAACTGCTTCATTTTAGTTGCACCATTTTACAACTGAGTGAAATCTTTTCTCCATGTTCCTTGCCATCTGAAGTCTGTCATCTCCGTGCTCGTATGCCATTATGTCATCCGCAAAGCTCAGGATACGTCCAGATTCCTCCTGAAACATCGTTACCTGAGCAGTGTACTCATTGAAAAGCACAGGAGAGACGGGGATCCTTGGGGCAGTCCTGGAGCAATTGATGCCGGATCTGAAGTCCATTCCCCCTGTCTCAGGGCCATTTTTCTCTCCTCCAGGGCTACTGCTACCCATCTCACCAGCCATATGTCTACATCAAATTCCAGGAGGCGGTCAATCAAACGTTCATAGTCGACTCGGTTGTAAGCATCCTCAAGGTCAAGTGCCGTCACAACTGTTTCCTTCCGCTGCTGAAAGCCTTCATAGATGTCACACGCCATGACAGCAGCATTCACTGCAGTTTCTCGATGGGGTCTATAGCTCATTTGGCAACAGGGACTGCATCTCTAAGTGTGCCGATATTCGTCCGGCAACTATCTTTTCCAGAATTTTCCCATAGGTGTTCTGCATGGCTATCATCCTGTTACCACTGAGAGCCGAGTGGTCTTTTCCTGATTTGGGGATTGGTATCAACCAGCTGTGCAACCATTCTTCACGGATTTCACCAGTGCCAATGCTTTTGTTGAAGTCTTTTATCATTCCTTCAATCATCTCATCATCTGCTTCTTTCAGGTGGCAATATCTTACGCCATCCGGCCCTCCAGCACTGTCCTTGGTATGTTTTATCGTTCAGGAAACCTCTCCTGTAGATATCGCATCCTCGTAGTTTGCATACATGTCTGGTGTCAACACACTGGAAACATCTTTTTCAACTTCCTTTCTTGAATCAATATTTCCCTGGTGTGTTTGATGGATGAATCGGTCCAAGAAAGCCCTTCCTTTCTCCTCATCAGTTTGGAGTGTCCTTCCTGACTCGTCATTCACATTCACGGTGGTTTTTGAGTGACCCTGCCTTACGTAATGAATACTACACTTTTTTAAAATGGAAAATGATTGGGTTTTTTCTCATGCATGTTAGCGAAAATTAGATCTAAAAATTTGTCTCTTCTTTTTTTCCTTAACGAAAAATCCGTAAAAATCCACTCCGGACACCACTAACAAAAATCGGTTCCATATATCAAAAATTCAACGGACAAATCTTTAGTATTACTTCTTCTCTTCATTCTGTGACAATTTCATGAAGATTAGAAGAAATATGGAGGAGTTATTCAAAAGTGACGCGGTGGTAATTGACGTTATTGACGCGGTAATGTCCGTTGCCACCGAGTAACGCGATGTCAAGTGTGAAAACAACGCTCTATCTTTAGAAGTCATATAACGAGTAGTTACACACATTTTGGGGTTTGAAAGGAAAATAGTATAGGTCAATTTCCGAATGCTTTGCACTCAAATTCTTCTTTTTACCTGCACAATGGTATTCAAAACTATCTATAAACTTATTTTTATCATGGAATATCATTTTGCGTAAATCAAAGCTCATTTGAAAGATTTTGTTTACAGTAACTTGAAAGTCTTGTTTCCTGAGGATCCTTTCGAGCTTCTCATGTCTAAGTGGGTCAATTTGTTTACTTGTGTTTTCTAATTTCATTGGACGAACATCAAGAGCTGCTAACTTAACGTGTTTTGAATGAGACGTAGGCGAGCCTATGCTTCGATGTAGAAACAACACCGGCGATTCTAGAAGTATGTTACAAACGCACACATATGGAACATAAATGAGAGAGAGAGAGAGAGAGAGAGAGAGAGAGAGAGAGAGAGAGAGAGAGAGAGAGAGAGAGAGAGAGACCCCCGCCCTCACACACAGAGGGCAAAGAGAGAGCGTCGCAAGTTCACGAACGTAGTTCTTCAGCGCAGAATACCGAGCACGTACAGGATACATCTCCTCCCAATTACAAAAGAGCTCCAATTTACTCAGTGGTAATTGACACTACCTACCCAAAAAGGTATAGAGCAAAATCGCGTTTCGAGGAAACGGCCAATGAAGAAAAATGAAATATTGACTTTTTGAGGAAACGGAGATGACAAAAATGCCCGGTATTGGAAGAAATAAGACTTTTAGGTCTTCTTATTGGGTGGAATAGTTGTAGGAAAGGCTGAGGAAGCTAAATATACCTACAACTCAAATTCCATAATTTTGAGCCGAATCGGATCTTTGGGGATGTACACCCCCCCACCCCCCCCCCCCCCCACCCTTCCCCGTCCCTTAATGGTGTTGTTTCATTTATCTAGCAAAAATGTATTTTTGTTGTTCTTGAAAATGTATATTAAATCTATATCGAAAAGAAAAAAAAGGGAGCAGATGGCCGTTCGAACCCTCACCTGCAGTCGCCGCAAGGGCAAGATGCACACGGTCCTTGTAGAAGTTCCAGTTACACTGTCTCACCAGAGCACAAGCCACGGCAACCATAGACACGCACACGCTCAGTGCAGCCAGCAGACGAGTCACTTCCAACATGGCTGTAGTAGTAGTAGTAGTAGTAGTAGTAGTAGTAGTAGTAGTAGTAGTAGTAGTAGGTAGAATAAAGAACAGAAGAAGATGACGAAACAATAGTGGCAGCAGTAACAACATCAACAGCAACAAAGAGCTACAACAAGAAACAGCAACGACAGCGACAACAGCCACTACATCAACAACAACAACAACAACAACAACAACAACAACAACAACAACAACAACAACGAAGACTAGCCTAGAAGTGGCCTACCAAGCAACTCGACACCTGGATTGTTTGATTATCAATACCCTTGTTTGAAACCCACAACTATTAGACGTTTACATGATCATTGATTACGGGTTTATCACCTATGATGTGGACCCATTCCAACCCGGATTCATCGAAGGACTCGCCCAATTTGGGCACAACAGCATTGGTGCTGTAACCAAAGATATTGGAAGAGCAATTTATTCAACGTTGGTACAGATTGTTATTTTTTGAGTGTTTAGAAGAAGATGACGGAAGTTTCACTTAGCCAACGCCCGCCATGCGGACCGCTTGGGAGGCAGAAGTGTCGTGGTGTGGCGCGGCATCTCTACTCGTCATCTCGTATTTGGTCACCATGCGAGGCTACCTCACAAGACGACGATATTGAGACGAAACGTTTCTTCTTTATGTCCTTCCCTAAATGACATGGCATGATGCAATCTGCCAGCATGACAACCCCCGACTCCAAACGGCCTCGATCAGTCAAAACTCATTTCAAACTCATAATCAGTGTTCTGAACTGGCCTTCAAGATCTGTAAGACGACATTGACAGGAGGCTTTGAAACAGGCCATACCCCATGAAATTTTGCCAGAAAGCTGGAAGCTTCACTTCACTAGGAATAGCAAAGAATTCCTCAGGCAACCATAAAGACATTAATTCGGTCAATGAACAGGCGTTATGTTACTGCAAATCAAGGGGGAGAAGGCCATAGGCAATACTGAGCAAATTTGATTTGGATTTTACAAGGGTTTGTGTGAATAAAATGCTTTCCCTTGAAAAAAAGGGACTTTGGCCAATTCTTTTCATGTCTTGTAAACTGAAAATGCATGAGAATCATGAGTGCAAAATATTGTTCCGCTATATTGAATAGCAAATGAATTCTGCTCCCCCGGGGCGAGGGAAATACAATATTGTGCGTTAATTGTTCTCTCTCGACTCGGGTTTGAGGATCCTGAGTCGGAGTCTCCATAACTTCATGTTTAAATTAGACTAGAAGGGAATAACTGCGATTAATGATTAGGGAGTACAATATGACTACTGCATTTAATTAAGTCTATAACCTGGTTGTCAACTTGCTATCTACAACCCGCTTAAGAAATCCCCATCATGCCTGCCACTACACTGTCTACCTACTTAGGTCCTCTCTTCACTTGTCTTGGCCAGCTAGAATAGGCTAACTCTAACAAGGTTACGTTATCGGAGAGTGTGCCCACCATTTCGGAACTTCAACGTGACATGAAGGATGGTTCCAGTAGGGAATGGGATAACGGGTGCCAACATCCTTCGAGACTTATCAGAGAAGAGGAAGATAGAACTAACGCTATTTTTTTAAACCTCTACTTACAGAAACATGTCTTCCCTAATAATTATTCTAAGAAAAACCATCCCACGTCATCACTTATCACCACCATTATTTCTAAAATCATCATTGCTCTCAGATCCGTGATATACATCTATAATTATCTTGAACATCTATCTGTAACAGTTACATGTTATAACAGTTATGTTCGTAATACACTATTGGAAACTATCATACGCACATTTTACAACTAATCACATGGCGTCAATATCATAAAAATGGGCAAAGGGACACAAAAAAAGAATGGCAAATGAGTTATCATGTTTTGTTGAAGGGTGTAGTTGAACTTTTGCAACTCGGTATTATGCCAAACAGATAAACAACCTACGCTTCCACACGAAGTGCGTCTTGCCGGCCAGGTTGAAGCAGATCTCTTTGTCAGTGCAGCCGTCCATGTCGGGGGATTCTGGAGCGTTGTCGGTGAGGGATCCTGCTACAAGCGGAGAGCTGCTGTTGGCTGCTTCTGTTTCTGTTGGTTGAGCTGTAAGTGATATTTTGAGTTTTAATGAAAGGCTGCTTCTTTTTTCTTTTTTTTTTTAGTTAGAGTTTTCCTGCACTTGCAACACAATATAGGTACTGTAGATTAGAGATGTTTCTAAATCAAAAGTGTCGAAAATGCTCCTAACATAAAGTAGCATACAAAGAAAAGAAGGAGAGATAAAGACGATAGACGTATGATAGGAAAAAAGAAAAATGCAAACCAAAGCATCTGTTTACCACCAACTGGTGATCAATTTAGTTCAGTTTTGGTAAGAGTAAGAGCTTTCAATCAGGTGCCGCACAACTAGGCAATACAAATGCCGATGATTAGGAAGTGATCCTGAAGAATAAAATACAAGGAATCAGATGAGACTGACAGATGTTTGAAATGAAAGAAGGAGCAAAACCCACCAGAGCACCTGCCAACCACCCACGAAGTAGAGGCAAGTACGTTAGATGTTTGATAAGAAATATGGAGCAAGCATACCGCACCAGAGCGCCCACCAACCACTCACAAGATAAATAAGCAGGGACGATGGACCTTTTAAAGGGAACAAGGAGCAAACCACACCAGAGCACCCACCAACCAAGGTGAAGGAGTAGGAGAGCCTCTGACCCACCTAAGGAGGAGTTTGTGGCGTTTGTTGTCGAGTTGGCGTCGACAGAGAAGGGTTTGTCGAGACAGAATGTTGAGCAGGACAACCACAGGCCAGCCCGGCCTACCTCTTTACATTGTTCCTTCACCTGAGGCAAGAGGGAAAAAGTAAACTATTAGTTGGTTGTTGTTGTTTTGGTGTTTTTTTTTGGGGGGGGGGGGGTTGGTGTGTGTGTGTGTGGGTTTTAGTTTTAGTTTTAGTAGGGATGTACATTGTATGTGAATGCTTATGTGTATGTGTATGCGAATGTGTTTGAGTATGTGTATGTTTACGTGCATGTGTATGTATGTGAATGCTTGTGTGTATGCGTATATTATGTATTTGTATGTGTATGTGTACGTGTATGTGTATATGTATTTTAGTTTTAATAGAGGTTTTACGGCGCTGGCAACTGCATAAGGTCATATGAGCGCTAAGGGGTGGATGTCAACAGAGAAGTCCTTACAGGGAATCAGACTTATTCTGCTCATCTCTCTTGCTTCAACTTTACAAAGTCTGCTTCGACTATCAAGACATCCCGGAAATAGCGGGTCACAAGAGAGGGACAAACATACAAAAGAAGTAGAGGAAAATGACGATAATAAGGATCAGGAAAGAAAAAGCAGCAGTTCCCTGTTGTAGTTTAGGCACAGTTATGAGCAGGACATTGTGGGATCAGCCCATTTAAAATTCTACTGTGTCTTAGAACGAGAAACGTCCCCCCTTAGGGAATGGCCTAAAGACACTTCAGTCAGTGGCATTGCTCCGGGATGTATGTGGGTTTGGTTATCTATTTATTTATTCATTTATTCATTTATATATGTATTTTCAGGTTTTGACGAGTTTTGTTTTGTTTTGTTTTGTTTCGTGGAGATGTTGGTTTGGGGGGGGGGGGGGTCCTGAGAGATTCTGAGTGAAAAAGAAAGAAAAAAAGAAAAATGAATCAAACTTTCAACTCACCACAATATACTTCATCCAGTTGGGAAAGCTGATCCCGAAACATAAGAAGCAGGAAGCTGACAAAACTAGGACTGTGTGTACATACAGGATGATGTCACCAATGAACGCCATGCTAAACTGCACTATGGGTTGGGTTGCTATGGAAACCTGAAGCAAACTCGATTACCTCTGCCGTCGTATCTTTTTAAAGATAATGTGTCAACAAGACAGCTGAGGAGACAGAGAGAGAGCGTTTTTAAAGAAATTAAAATTCTCGTTTGGTTTTTTAAGAGGTTTTTTTTAGCGAAAAGAAGCAAATGCACACAGGCCGTATTTATACTGTGTTAGGACAGAGCAACTAACTTTTACCCAACTGTTTAAAACGCTTAAGGGGAAATACCGGAGAAAGACTCGACGTCAGTGCGTCAGTTTCAATTTCTATCCCTCCCCCCTCCCTCTCCCCCAATCCGTTCTCCCCCTCCCCCAAACCCCTCGATCTCTGCTCCACCCACCCATCCCACATACATATATGATTGGATTTTTCTTTCTCTTCAATTTTTCAAGACACTTAATTTAATTGACTTACTAAAAAGCCTATAATAGAAATGGTTTGTTGGTTGGAAGTATTATCTCTGCCCGCCGTAGGTCTCTGAGATTCACGTGCAATGATTTATCATATTATTCACTATTACGGCTGGTGCTCAGTATAGTTTGTTTAGTTTGAAGTACGGCTGTGGTCAGGCTAGTCGCCTATTAGCCGTTCGTTGCTTTCACTGCTTGTTCCTTCCTGCTCGTTGTTTTCACACTCTGGTATCTGTAGGTTAGTGCTCATGGCACATGGATCTGGCAGTTTGAAACCAATCTAGGTTCATAGAGAATGTATGTGCCTTCCAGACCATGTCAATCCTATCCTTGAAAGCATTCATGGATGGTGCAGACATCACATTTTCCGGTAGGGAATCCAAACGTTAACTGTGCGTACACTGAAGATGTTTTGGCGGACTGCTGTTTTCACATGGGTTTTTTTTCAATTTTAGGCTGTGTCCCCTGGTGTTAGAGTGTAGATTGCGGGGTAAAATGTCTCCCGTTACGTTGTAAATTCCTGTTAAATACTTGTAACATTCAATCATGTCGCCTCTAGCTCTCCGATAGCACAGCGATGACAGATCCAATTTTCTGAGACGATCGCAGTAAGCAAGGTGCTGTAGTTCAGGAATTAGTCTGGTGGCCCGACGTTGCACTTTTTCAAGTTGTTCTTCATCACCTTTAAGTCTGGGGTGCCAGACCACATTTCCATACTCTAGATGAGGACGAATGATTGATTTGTATAGAGTAGAAAGGGAGACTTTGTCCAGCATTGTGAAACCTCTCCGGATCAGTGCGAGAAGATTGTTAGTTTTATTGACTTGGATATTGACATGTTTGCTGAATTTTAGATCACTTTCAATATTCACACCTGGGTCTTTTTCTAGTCTCACAGAGTCTAGAGTGATGCGTTCACCTTTGGATGTCATCTTGTACTCGCATGGGTTTCTATTTTTCCCAATGTGCATAACCGTGCATTTTTCTGCATTACACCTCAATTGCCACGCATCAGACCAGAGCTGGAGTCTGTTCAAGTCATCCTGGAGGTTGTCCGAAAAGTCGGGTACTTCAGCAAAAATCTTCATATCATCCGCGAACAGAAAAGTAGCAGAGAGGATATTTTCAGGAAGGTCATTGACGAAGCATACAAATAGAAACGGACATAGCTCATTTCCCTGAGGGATTCCCGACTGCACATGCTCCCAGGATGACTCCTCTCCATTTACAACCACCCACTGTTGCCTATCAGTCAAGAAGTCCCTTATCCAAGCGTGAATCTGCCCCTCAATTCCATAGCCTTCCAGTTTTGTCAACAAACGTTCGTGTGGGACGGTATCGAAGGCCTTAGCAAAGTCTAGATAAATGGTGTCGACACAGCCATCTGCCTCAATGATTGAAGTCCATAGGTCGAGCTACTCTAACAGGTTGGTTGAACAACTTCTTCTGCTTATTGAAACCATGTTGACAGTTGCTAAACAGATCATTTTGCTGGAAATGTTTTATGAGCTGATCTCTGATGATGGATTCCAATACCTTACAGGCCACACTCGTCAGACTCACTGGACGATAGTTTCCTGGGGTGGGGGGGGGGGGGGGGTGTTGTTGCCTTTTTTGAAGATAGGTGAAACATGAGCTAGCTTCCACTCGGATGGTATAACTCCTTCCTGCAGTGACCTATTCATTAGAGTTGCCAGCGGGGCAGCTAGTTCAGTGGCACATTGTTTGAGGGTGGATGATGGGATGTTGTCTGGACCCTGGGCTTTGTTGGGATTTAGCATAGCAAGCTTCTTGAGCACATTTTCTTTAGTTATATGCATGTCTTCAAACTTGCAGTTAACATCTCTGTGTTGAAACTCATGTATTTCTCTTGTGCCCTCTCTCGTGAAGACTGAGCAGAAAAAAACGATTTAGAACCTCGGCTTTATCCTTGTCCGTGCTTGCCACACTACCATCATCACAGACCAGATCCGCAATACCACTCCTTGTGTTCAGTTTGCTCTTGGCATATTTGAAAAATGCTTTGGGGGTCTTGCTTGGATTCTTGGGCTATCTTTCTTTCAAGGTCTCGTACTGCCTTGCGGCATTCCCATTTGGCTTGGTTTCTTGCTTTTGCGTAGTCTGCATAGTCCTTACCCTCTCTCGTCTCCATATACCTTTTGAAAGTGGTGTGTTTTTCTTTAACTTTGGCTAAAGCCTTGTCATTCATCCACAGTGGGTTTCCCTGCTTTTTTCCAGGTCTGCTCCTGGGAATATTTGTTTCCATGCTATTGATTAGTTTTTGTTTGATCTCTGTCCAGGTGGCTTCACGTGTTAGTTCATTTAGGGTAGTCTCCCAGTTATTGATTGAAGATCATTTTTAATCCCGACCCAGTCGGCTCTGTCATACACATAGCGGGGCCTGTGCGGTTTATCTTTTTTCTTATAGCAATTCATCTGAAAGACCAGGTTAGAGTGGTGGCTTTTCCCCAAGGGAGGTTCATAGTTCACTTCTTCTATCATGCCCTCCTATGTGAATATCAAGTTTAAGATGTTGGCCTGTTGGCTAACTCTGTGGTGAGTTGGTTCTTGCACATGCTGGTATAGAAAGCAGTCTCTGAATGCCTCCAGGAAGGAAGTGGCCTCCCTGCCCTCAGTCTTGCAGTCATTATTCCACCCAATCCCAGGGAGATTAAAGTCACCACAAATCAGAATATGAGAGAAATTTATATTACACACTGTTTTCAGATCCTTGATTATGATTTCATTATTTACATTATCGCTGTTCGGTGACCTGTAAACACAGCCTAATAAAAGTCTGTCTGTACCATCAAGTCCTATCTCATACCAGAGTGATTCCTTCCCTGCACATGTTTCATTAACTGGGCTAGGCGAAGCTTTTAAGTAGTTCCTTGTATAAATCAGTACACCTCTATTGTCTTTCTCGCATCTGCTGAACAAATCGTAACCCTGAAGTTGCAACTCACAATCTCGCATTGATTCTGTGCAGTTTTTTGGTGAGACCTCAGTGACGCATATAATATCTGGTTTATGTATACACACAAGCACCCCGAGCTCATGCCTCTTATTTAGAGTGCTATCTGCATTTGAATACAAACATTTTAACTTGGAAGATGAAAAACTGAACAAGTCTTTTGGAACACAATTAACTTTTGGATAAACACAACTCAAACAATCATTCAGAACCTTAGAATGACTAGAATTCTCATTCTGTGAACTATATACATGTTTCTTGGGCTGGTTATCTGCTATTCCTTGCCCACCTGCCCGACCCCACTCCGCCTTCTGTTCTTGCTATATTCACCACCTGGTGTCTCCTGATCACCCATATGTCTTTTCTTCCCTGAGCTTCTGACTCTTCCCTTTTTTGATTTCTCAGCAACACCAGCTTTCTCATCTCTTCCCTCTCTAAAAAAAAGTCATATCCTTTTTAATGGAAATTTTTTAAAAGTTTTTTTGTCTTGGTGCTCCCTGAGTTTCCTTCCAGACTTAAGAGTCTCTTGAGCCTGTTGAGAGTTCTGAAATTTCACTTAAAGTGGTCTGGGCCCCTTTTCAGTGTCTTTTGCCTCTGTCTTTTTGGCCCCCAGTCGATAGATCAAACCAATCTCGGCCGCACATTCCAATCCTTTCTGGGTGATATCATCGCTTTTTTCATGTCCTCCGATTTCCTCACTTCAGGGTCTGTATCTGTACTTTCTGGCACTCCAAAGAAAATCATCTTGTTTTTTTCTGTATTCTCTGTCTTCCATTTCTTTAATGTCCTCGTTGACTGATGTTACCATGACGCTGTCCAGTTTACATGATAGATTCTCCCTTGAGTTCTCGGCCTCTTTAAATTTCTCTACGACATGTGCTTCCATGTCTTTTACTTTTCCCTGCAAGGCATCCTGTCTGGCTGAGAGACGATTTAGACCTGACATGAACCCAATGGTGAATTTGTTGCATTTTTTACTAAACCAATGCAGGCTCTGTGATGATTCATTGTCTGTTTCCTATATTGCTGCGTAGAGAGAATCAGGTACACCTTCACAGGTTGTGTGGTGCCATATCTCACACATATCACACTTTAGTCCATGTTCTTTCTTTCCCACCTCCCTGTCACATTTACCACATGTCTTATCTTCTTTTTTGCTGTTCCTAGAATTTGGTTTGATGCGTTCGGTACTTGTAGTTGTAGGCCTACTCATTTTTACAGTTTCTTTTTCCTACTCCCGATATGAACAAAAGAGATGCCACCAGCCCAAAACTCTCTAGATCTAAATTTCTAGTGGTAGATCTAGTAGATTCCATGTGCAATATAGCACACGTACATTCTCAGAATCAGAGCTCTCTAATAAACCAATATAGATATATCTAGATCTACTGCTAAAGTAAATCATTATTTATATCTACTTGTGCCCATATGTTTCAGAATAAGTTGCAATATCTTACCATATTCACATTCTGTAGGCCTTATATAAATTGATCATGCCACATTCTTCAGAACATAATTAGTTCATTAGCGTTGAACGGAAACTCTTGGTGCTCTATAATAATATAATGTGTCAGACAACGTTCACGAACCATACTCAATGTCTGAAATGCGGGATTTCCCGTCCTATGAGCAGGTTGCTGTGAATGTTGTTGTTGCTATTGAGAGGTCCTCTACTAAAAGGAAAAATATGAATAATTATATCAACAATTCACTACCGGAGAATTATTACAAAGTTCAGTCTGACATTTTGGCCATTTTGAGTTTCAAATACCATGATTTCAGAAACCAAATTTTCTGTCTGCTCTATCAAAATCGTAAGATTTTTTAAAGTCATTATCAAGATATTCAAAGAATTGTGGTTTATCTTTGAAGTTTGAAAGCTAAGTCAACATTTTTATAAAGTCTACACTTATTGTTTTATTCTGTGCAGATTCATTGCCTACTGAAGGTTTTTAATGGATCTGTAATCTCTTTGTTTCTGGTTCCCAGTTCATATGGGCCCACTATGTCTTCATGTCTAGTTGTTCCTACTTTTGCATTAAAATCTCCGATGACTATGACAATATCCTGTGATTTAGAAAGTGTCTTTGATTGGTTTAGTTCGTGCGTTCTGAGGTTGACGCATAAGCTTAGATGATGGTTGTATCGAAGGGTGATCCTTTCAGTCTCACTGGCATTACGCTGTCTGATATTGTCAGGTACCCCTTAAGTGTCTTCGATGTCTGCATGTCCATGATGATCGCTACTCCTCTTTCATGTTTGTCGCCTCCTGAGTAAATGATTTTATATCTGTCGGACACTATTCTGCCAGCTCCTGTCCATCGTACTTCACATAAACCCATAATGTTAACATCCATTCTCTTCATTTCTTTCCTGAAGTTGTCCAGTATTCCTTTCTCTAGCAATGTTCTCTTATTCCAGGTTGCTATGCTTCTCGTTTGAGTTTTCCTTTTGTGAGCAGTATCTTGATGACGATATGGTGTCACCTGCTGAGCATGACTTGCCCTACTGGACGAGGCAGTTCTTACAGAGCTCCCCTTTACTTTGTTATCTTCTTTCATTGTGTGTTGATCCATGACGTTCTTGGAAGAAAATACAGCAGTGGTTTCCCCTTGCCTTCTGTTGCATTTGTGTACGGTTTACTCCACTTGGCTTTGTCCAAAAGGACTAACCCACATGGCAACTGGGGCAGGTGGCAGGTTTCGGCAACCCCCTCTCGCCTGACAGTCCCTTTACTAAGAATATGAGGCATTTTATAGAGACAGGATTGCCACCACCCTGTCCTACCTCGCTCTCTAAGACTGTTGCCAGTTGGTCCGAGACTGCTTATTAGTGCCGTGCGATTTAGAGTTTTTTTTTTAAATCATCGTAACTTCGAAATGCGATGCAACTATTCATGCTATTCGAATACCGTGCGCGAATAGTTTTTTCTTCTTATACAAGTACATGAAGGCCAAAGGTGAGGCCTGATACGATGAGTCTATCAGAGTACCCATATCCCCTTGTGCTTCGAATTTCGAGTTGTTCAAGGGGAGCTCAGTATGCAATGTACACAAAATCTCCGGCGATGGTCTATTGAGTTATGGCATCACGAGTGCCTTTTAGAGGCATGTTTTATAACTCCTACTGGCTCCTCTTATCACTCTGTCCCGTAACCATCAACTTTAACGTAACGTTGAATTTACCTCTGTGAATTTAGATACTTTAGTATGCTTTGATTTTACTACGGGTTGAAAAAAAAGTTAAAAGAAATCTATTATGAAAAAAATCACACAGCATTCGAGCGACTCTGCCACGCTTTGAATGGCTGTGAATAGCGCAATTATTGTGAAATCTAATGGGTACAGCTCTGCAGCTTCTTGGTTATTCGAAGCTACCCTACATAATGTCGGCCTTTCCATTATCCGCCACCTGGGGACGCGGTGAGTCGAGGATTGTCGACAGAGTTGTGGTTCATAAGACGTATGCAGCGTATCCCACTGACAGCTAGAAAAACAAATGAAGAAGTCTTGGTTGAAGCAAATTACAGACGACAGCTTATGACGAATATGCGAAAGCGACAGACGAATTCATTGGACACACAATGCGGAAAGAAGCATTTGGGAATACTGTAACAACAGTCAAGTTTGATGGAAAGAGAGGCAGAGGAAGACAGAGGAGAAAGATACTGGACAAGTTGACAAAATGGCTGGGAGCAGCAAGAACAACAGACACCATTGCTCCAACTCAAGACAGATGGAAGTGGAAGTCCATGATCGCCCACGCCAGTCGGGAAGGCACCGGATGATGGTGATGAATCTGTTTGTTATCGTCTGACACATGTCTGACACATGTCTGAACCGGTGTCTGTTATGAAACGAAACACGTCATCATCCGGGCGATCATAGACCTCCACCAACACTGCAATTTGCTTCAACCAAGATTTCTTCATTTGTTTTTCTAGCTGCCCTTAGGATACGCAACATGCGTCTTATGAACCACAACTCTGTCGCCTCAATTGTTCTTTCCAGCTGTTTTTTGATTGTCCTTGCTTCGCACCCCTATAATAGGATTGACTCAATGTAACTGTTTGTAAGTATCTGTTTCGATTTGTGGAAGGTTGTTTTTGCTTGGAAAATGCGGCTTTATTTTGGTGTGGCACCTCCCATCTGATGATATAATGTTGCTGGCTGACTGGGGTGAACTCTCAGCCCGGGAACCTGGAGTGGACGGTGTACATGAAGGCCCTGTGCTGGAGGACTGTGTGCAGAAACTAGATCTGAGTGAACGAGCCACGCCGGAGCAAGTCTTGTAAGAAGGCATAACGCTATCGGTGATTAATTGTCCTGTGAGGGCCTGTCCATTGATGTCCTGGGAGTCGCAATCCATCGCTCGAGCGCCAGTGGGGCTGCCAATATGGTAAAAAGGCGTTGCCTCTAACGGTCACCAAAAAGATTCTCTCGAACCACCATCTCGTCTCCCGTGGGTCACCTGCGGCGTTTGTTAACCGACGACCAACTTTCTGAAGGAACTGGGTAGTCAGGGGACCAAGAGCGCCGGATGTTTCAACGGCCACTGGGACGAAGTGGTAGCGGTCGCTGAGGCCTGTGTATTTTCTCATTTTGGTTTCCTCGGCCTTTTTGGCAATACTGCCGGGAGCGGAGGCCAAGAAGGTTAGACAACGGTGAGAAAAAATCGGAGCCTGTAGAGTCCCACTCGAGACATTTCCCACCCTCGAACGGAAAGATGGTGATGTCATGCAGCCTTTTGCCCTCATCACGGTCGAGGTGAGAAGGTTCGAGGATACAGTGCAAGTCGGCTGCATCGAGTGCACGCATTCGAAAAAGCTTGACATATAGTGAAACGCAAAATATGTGTATATAATAATAATAA